AACATATATTAAATAAGAAGATTTATTAAAACAATTATTAATTAGAAATAAATATAAAATCTTATCAATTAATTATTACATTCTTATTTTATTAGATAAAAAAAATTAGACATACTAAAATTAAACAGAAGGACTAAATGATTAAAGTAAATAGTGATTATAAATTGGCACTAATTTATTATGAGTATGTGGTAATTTTTTCTTCTTAGATCAATTTTAGGCAGAGAACTAAGAGAAAAAAACTTATACGAATATAAGACGCTAAACTATCAATATAATGATATTTTTTATGTTATAGTAATTATTGTTTTGGTCATTTTAGACAGTGATAAGTTTTATTTTTTTTAAAAGTAATTTTTGTAAATTTGATAAATTTAAGTAATGCCACTTAAAACATATATTGTAATTATTGTATAAAAAAATTATTTTAATTCTATCAACTATCTAATTAAAATACTTTACCTAATATTGATATTAAAAATAAATTTTACTTTTGTAATTTTTTATATAAATTAATAATAAAAATATTTAATAAATACGCTTTAAAGAAAAAAAAAATCTTAATATAAATTACCAATTTAGTACTAACTCAACACTGATGTAGGATAAAAAATCCACCTTATTATCATGTAAGTAATGAAATATATTAGAAGCACCTTTCTATTACAAATTAACAACTATCTAATGTAAGCCATGCAAAAAAGAAAAAGGCTAATTTGCAACCATACAATGAGTTGAGAGGCTGATTTGTCTTTATTTTTAGTTGAGGGGCTGATTTGTCACCATTCGTGAGTATAGGGACTGATTTCCCCTTTTTTCCTTTTACTTTTAAGATTTGAACTATATCGGATTTAATTTTGATGTACTAGATGGTACATAAAATACTAGTCAGTACACCAAAATTTGATCGAAATACCCAAAATTTGACCGGAATAGAATTAAAACTTATACCGTTTTCGGATTAATAGAAAAATTGATACGTATCAACCGTATTGACCAATATATATCGGTATTGACTTCCTTGATTTTATCACACTTATTGGAATTAATGTTGGTAGAGGTATTTGATTCTTGTGATTGTGAGGAATCTTTTGTTGACTATTGATACAATAACTATACCATTGGTATTAGTATTTCCATTGAAACAAAATGCTGTACTAAGATTTTAATTTACATTTCTAGCCATTAAAGTTGTGTTTGACCCAAGCATTGTTTTAAAAATATTTTTTTGAAATTTAAAATCAATAAATGTTGATTAAATAGGAGAATGTTAGAAATTTTCATGCAAGCTATTGCTAATTGTTTTTTGGTTTACAAAAATCGATCAAAAGAAAAATTGATAAAGCCCAACAATTTTATTTGATCTAAATGGGCCTATCTTTTAACTCATATTTATATAATGTGATATAAATAAGTGTAGGGTTTGAAATTAAAAGTAGGTTATTTGATGGGATTGCCAAAAAGGTTAATAGAATGGGTTAAGTCCCTTCTCTCATTCAAAAAACCCTAACTCTAACATGACCCATTAGTTATCACTGTACAACAATTGATTAGGAAGAGAAAAACCTAAATCTCAATCTAATCATATTTATTTTGTGGATTTTAAATGAAATTATGATGATCTTGGCAACATTCTAATCTTATATATTGATTATGAAGATTAAAGTATGCAATTTTTTTTTTTTTTGTGGATAAGCATTAAGGTACATAATTTATTTATTTCATTATATCTTGGCATTATAAATTTCACCTACATAGAACCTTAAATTCTGACATGATAAACATTCATGTATTATGGAAATATTTGTTTTAGTATTGTTTGGATTATTGGACAATTTTTTTGAATTATGTAACCAATGTATTGTATTTGCTTTATAGGTTTTTTTATTTTCTTTTTTTTTTTATAATGTTCACATAAATATCTATAAATATCTGGTTAAATCCTTGGTTCAATCCCTCAACTTTCATTTTTGAACTAAATTTACCCTCGAACTTCAAAAAGTACTAAAAAAATTCCTGAACTTCAATTTTTGTTATAATTTTGTCCTTTTGTCAATTAAGTGCTGATGTGGCGAAATTCTCCGTTAAGAAATTCAATTTCTATCAATATTGAATATTACGTGAAAATAAAATAAGTGATATGGCGTCTTTTAATTATAAAAATATTATGACGTGGCAACATGTATATAATTTAATAAATTATTATTAAATAAAAATTTATTTCCTTTCTTCTTCTTTTTTCCCTTCTCTTTTCTTTTCTCCTTCCCTTGCTTACTAGGTTCGAAGGAACCCACACTTGGGTTCCTTCGGACCCAGCACTTGGGTTCCTTCGGACCCAGCACTTGGGTTCAACCTAATACGCTTGGGTTCCTTCGAACCTAGGCGTGCTAGGTTGAACCTAGGTGCTGGGTTCGAAGGAACCCAGACGGGTGTTGAAGGAACCCAGACGGGTGTCGAAGGAACCCAGACGGGTTCGACTCAAACCTAGGCCCTAGGTTCCTTCAAACCCAACACCTGGGTTCAACCCAGCACGCCTGGGTTCAATGGAACCAAGGCGCAAGGTACCTTTGAACCCAGCACGCTTGGGTTCTTTGGAACCTTCTTCATTCTTGCTTTTTGCTTCTTCTTTTCTCTTTCAGTATTTTTGAAAGAAATCCCATGATTTTTTCTCATTGGTTCTCATTTTCTTCTTTTTTTTTTTCTATTTCTTTGTTCTTCTGTTTCTTTGTTGGCTGCAGTCATGCTTAGCTATCTTGGTATGGGATTTAGAGTTTTGTGTGGCTTCTGCTTGCTTGAATTTCAAGATCTAGCTATTGCTGGTATTGATTGAAGGGATGTTGTGTTTTTGCATTTTCCTTTTCTTTTACAAATTTGGTATAAGTTTGCAATATGATTGATTTGTTAAATCTTTATAGATCTGGTATAAGTTTACAGTGTAATTGATTTTTTGAACCAAATCTATTGGCCATTATTATTGTGCGAGGAACCAGATTTGGGTTCCATTAGAGAAGAAGTTTGGGGTAAAAGGAGATGGTGATTGGAGTGGTAACGGATGAACGAAGCAATGAGGGATGATAGGTGCTGAGTGGGTTGCAAGATGAAAAAGCATCTGAGGATAAAGAGAGACAAGAAAGGAGAAAAAGAAGGGCTGGAAGATGAAGATGGGGGTATTTAAAGAATTTAAAATTTTTTAATTTATAAATTAATTAAAATGACGTGGACAATAAAAATACCACAATGAGTTAAGTTATTTTCCATGTAATTAAAGATTTCAAACAAGAATTGATTTCATGGCAACTCAATGTGCCATCTGGCACTTTCGTCGACGGAAGAACGAAATTGGTCTCGAAAATTGACGTTCAAGGATTTTTTTAGTACTTTTTGAAGTTCGAGGGCAAATTTAGTTCAAAAATGAAAGTTGAGGGACAAAACTGGGGATTTAACCTAAATATCTTTAATGAGAAAGCCTAAGTGCTTTGCATTTCCATTGTTTACCATTCATCTACTTCAAGGGAAACACATGATGCATTAGGTGATTGAATCAATTATTAGAGGCAATACTCTAGGGGAAAACAAAATAGATAAGTGTGTTTATCATTTGCATAGACAGGGATGGAGTAGATATTAGTAGTTACTATATTTTCGCTATCAAACATGTAATACCTTGAATCCCATATTGAGATGAAAGTGTGAGCATGATTAACATATAAATATAAAGATCAACCATTTGTAAAAACTTAAACTTAAGCTTTTGAGGGTACATGGACCTTGACACAGAGTTGTTAGGTTAGTAGTGGTCTTTAGCCTAGGTTGTTTAAGGACAACTTCGAGTGGGCTCAAGGCTATACCCATCACTTTGGTATATTTTCCATGGATTATAACCTTAGGGGTTGAATCCACTAATAAAGGTTCAAGTTTTGGAGCAATATACAAAAGGTGCCTCCTTCAATCGCCTAGATTGGATTACAAAATTGATCTCATCAGCAACCAAAATCTACTGCATATTGGTTCTTAATGTGCTTGAAAGACAGTGATAAAATTGAAGCTGGCAAAGAGAACTAGATAACTATAAAA